GCGTAAATAACCCAATACTTTGATATTTAAGGCCTAAGTAACTCATTAGTCTTATCTATATTGTACAGGTAGTTCAGAAGTCTCATCTTTAAGATATAAATAGTTTATAAATCTCAGGTAGTTCAGAAACCTGATGTTTAGTATATAAGTAACTCAGTAGTCTGATCTTTAGTGTATAAATAACTCAGTAGTCTGATCTTTAGTGTATAGGCAGCTCAGGAATATGATATTTAAGGTCTAGATAGTTAATTTATCTGATGTTTAAGGTATAAATAGTTCAGTCTGATCTTTAGTATATAGGTAGGTCATGTAGTCTGATCATTAGCGTATAGGTAGCTCTGTAACCTGATTTTTAATATATAGTTAGCTCAGGTAGTCTGATCTTCAATGGTCAGACTACTGACTATCCATACACTAAAGATGAGACTTATGAACTACATATACACTAAACATCAAACTACCTAAATTATATATACATTAAACACCAGGCTACTGAGCTACCTATACATTAAAGATCAGACTGCACTATTTATACGTTAAACATGAGATTACTTAGCTATTTATACCTTAAACACGAGATTACGTAGCTACTTATACCTTAAAGAAGAGACTACTGAGCTACCTATACAATATATATCAGACTACTGAGTTACTTACGTCTTAAATATCAGACTATTGGGTTATTTTAGACTTAAATATCAGTTTACTGAGCTGGTTATACACTAAAGTTCAGACTGCAGAGCTATCTACACACTAGTGTATATATAGCTCTGTAGTCTGACCTTTAGAGTATAGGTAGCTCAGCAGTCTGGTCGTTAGTGTATAGGAAACTCAGTAATCTGATTTGTAGTATATAGATAGCTCAATAGTTTGATCTTTAGTGTATAAGTAGCTCAGTAGCCTGATGTTTAATGTATAGATGGCTCAGGTAGTCTGAGTATTAGTGTATAGGTGGCTTGACCTTTAGTGTATAGGTAGCTATGTACTCTGATCTTTAGTATATAAGTAGGTCAGGTAGTCTGACCTTTAGCATATAGGTAGCTCAGTAGCCTGATGTTTAATGTAAAGGTAGCGTAGGTAGTATGATCTTCAGTGTGTAGATAGCTCTGTAGTCTGAACTTTAGTGTATAAGTAGCTCAGTAGTCTGATCTGTAAGGTATGAATAGTTCAGTAGTCCTATATTTAAGGTATAAATAGCTCAGTAGTCTGATCTATATTGTATAGGTAGCTCAGAAACTTGATGTTTAGAGTATAAGTAGCTCAGTAGTCTGACCTTTAGTGCATAGGTAGCTCAGTAACTTGACCTTTAGTGTCTAGGTCGCTCAGTAGTCTGACCTTTAGTGAATAGGTAGCTATATAAGCTCATCGTTAGTGTATAAGTATCTCAGTAATATAATCTTTAGTGTAAAGGTATCTCAGTAGTTTGATCATGAGTGTATCGGTAGCCTAGTAACCTGATATTTAAGGTATAAATAGCTAAGTAATATGATGTTTAAGGTACAAATAGCTAAGTGATATGATGTTTAAGAAATAAATAGTTCAGTCTGATTTTTAGTGTATAGGTAGCTCAGTAGCCTGATCTTTAGTGTATAGATAACTCTGTAGTCTGACCTTTACTGTATAAGTAGCACAGTAGTCTGGTCGTTAGTGTATAGGTAGCTCAATAATCTGATCTTTAGTGTATAAGTAGCTCAGAAGCCTGATGTTTATGGTATAGGTAGCTCAGGTAGTCTCTTCTCTAGTATAAAGATAATTATGTAGTCTGAACTTTAGTGTATAAGTATCTCAGTGGTCTGAACTTTAGTGCATAAGTATCTCAGTAGTCTGATCTTTAGTGTATAAGTAGCTCAGTAGTCTGATCTTTAGTGTATAGTTAGCTAAGTCTGATATTTAGTGTATAGGTACCTCAGTAGTATGACCTTTAGTATATAGGTAGCTCAGTAGCCTGATGTTTAATGTATAGGAGCTCAGGTAGTCTGATATTTTGTGTATAGATAGTTTAGTAGTCTGATCTGTTGTGTATAGATAGTACAGTAGTCTTATTTTCAGTGTACAAGTAGCTCAGTAGTCTGATCTTTAGTATATAGGTAATTTAGTAGTCTGATTTGTAGTATATAGATAGCTCAATAGTTTGATCTTTAGTGTATAGATAGCTCTGGTAGTCTGATCTATATTGTATAGGTAGCTCAGAAACTTGATGTTTAGAGTATAAGTAGCTCAGTAGTCTGACCTTTAGTGCATAGGTAGCTCAGTAGTCTGACCTTTAGTGAATAGGTAGCTATATAATCTGATCGTTAGTGTATAAGTATCTCAGTAATATAATCTTTAGTGTAAAGGTATCTCAGTAGTCTGATCATGAGTGTATGGGTAGCCTAGTAACCTGATATTTAAGGTATAAATAGCTAAGTAATATGATGTTTAAGGTACAAATAGCTAAGTGATATGATGTTTAAGAAATAAATAGTTCAGTCTGATTTTTAGTGTATAGGTAGCTCAGTAGTCTGATCTTTAGTATATAGGTAATTTAGTAGTCTGATTTGTAGTATATAGATAGCTCAATAGTTTGATCTTTAGTGTATAGATAGCTCAGTACCTTGATCTTTAGTGTATAGATAGCTCAGTACCCTGATCTTTAGTGTATAGATAGCTCAGGTAGTCTGATCTTTAGTGTATAAAGAGCCCATTATTCTGATCTTTAGTGTATAGGTAACTCAGTGGTCTGAGCTTTAGTGTATAAGTAGCTCAGTAGTCTGATCTTTAGTGTATTGGTAGCTTAATAATCTGATCTTTAAGCTATCAATAGCTCAATCTGATCTGTAGTGTATAGGTAGCTCAGTAACTAGACCTGTAGTGTAGAAATAGCTCACTTGTCTACAGGTAGCTCAGTAGTTTGATCTTTAGTGTATAGGTAGCTCAATAGTCCGATCTTTAGTGTATAGGTAGCTCAGTAACTAGACCTGTAGTGTAGAAATAGCTCAGTTGTCTACAGGTAGCTCAGTAGTTTGATCTTTAGTGTATAGGTAGCTCAATAGTCCGATCTTTAGTATATAGGTAGCTCAGTAACTAGACATTTAGTGTATAAATAGCTCAGTAGTCTGATCAATAAGGCATAAATATCTAATTAGTCTGACCTTTAAGGTATAAATAGGTCAGTAGTTTGATATTTAGGTGATAGGTGACTCATTATTTCTAATATTGAAGGTATAGATAGCTCAGTACCGATCTTTAGTGTATAGGTAAAGTAGATCAGTAGTCTGATCTTTAAAGTATAGGTAGCTCAGTAGCTTGTCACTTAGCGTGCACACACCTTACTCGTAGTTAAGATATCTGTTTTCCTGCACCTTACACCACCAGCATCATGTGAACAGGACACCTTCAGTATATCATTTTTTATTGCAGTAAGTTCCCAAACTATTTTCGTTTACTTCATAATACACAAATTACCATCTATTCCTGCAATTTACAATAAATCTACCATCACTTATCGCAACAGAAAAACAACCAACGTACTTCATTTGACAAACAACCTTCCCTCACTTGCTGCATCAGACAACCATCACATCCTCATTGACTGCAATCGACAATCAACCTACCATCAATTATTGCAACAAACTATTCTGTTATTACTTAACTCAGCAGACAACAAACAACCATCATTTACTGCATCAGACAACTATCCTGTCATCATCCCTCTTCATAAGAAATTCGAAACAACAGTATACAGCCTTAGAATAATCTAACGTGTTTTTATTTTGAAAACAACCCCATAGTTATATTATTGTTATTATATGAAATTAGAGCTTCGGTAGAGTAAACAGTAACAGAGCATCTCCAGGCATAACTTTCATAGTAAACATAGGCAATATTTTGTGTTCTCACAAAATACCGAAATAATATATTCTTTTTTTTTCCTTCTGTCATCAGAAAGAGTGAGTTCTGTGAAAGTATACATTGGAATACCAACAAAACGATGCCGCAATAAGACATGTAAACAACAGAAGATACATATTACAGCAACCAGTCTCCAATGCTATATTGTATAAAGGAAAAGATCAAGGTCGTAAAAAAACACTATTGTAGCTTATATGTGACGTCATAAAATCAGTAATTCCGCCGCGAGCAATGCGAATTTAAGCTCGAATGACCAACAAATTAGACTGTCTTTAGATGTCGTGTTAAAGTCATGAAAATAGGGACTATTTAATCTATAATGTAGGGATCTCACGTAGCCACAAGCAGAATATATCCATTTTAATTTGTTATTGATATTGAAGCATTAAAACCGCCAGGAAATGTTGTGACAGTAATCATTTAGAGAATATAGTTATTTCAAGTTGTTATCGTCATCGATAGTACACGACCAGCAGAAACTGAAATCATTAATAGGTAATAACTTACTTTGTGTTGTTATCATCACGTTGTAAACACCGGTAAGATAAGATAATCAAATGCATTGATTTATTCAATCGTGTTGTGATTGTTAACCGAAGTAACCAATTAATCATTAAGTATCTTATTATTCGTTCTTTAGCACAGTTTCTTGTTAAAGGGAGGATAAGATTTTAAGTTTCATATATAGAGCTATAGCTTTGAGGCTATACGTTTTTTTACCAGAACGCTTTCTGAGGTAGAATCCGTGTTCTAACTTCACTTAAAATACAAATTTATTTGTGTAATAGCTAACATGGCATGCTTTCCAATGTTTAACGTTAAGCGTAAAATGTTAGATACTAAGTAACTTTGAAAACGACATCTTTTATATAGGGATCATAAGCACACGTGCCACACTATTTTATTCGTTTTGTCATGAAGAATTGTGCAAACTAATACACGTCTACTGAAAATATTTCTTTTAAAGGTGTTAAACCTAATCATCGAATTAATTTAAGTTTAATATTTAATTAGTAAAATATGAAAAATTATGTCCAAATTTTAAAACGTTATATGCTCATTGTATGAACAGTAAAAAATAAAGTATATCAATTTCACTTTCCTTCCAGTATCATACGAAGCTACGACAGAAGAGGCCAAGCACGCCTACCCGTCACGTAAGTATTTCAAATTATGTAACTATCTTTATGGCTCAATAAAACGGATGTTTCACAAGGGCCCATCTTTAAGGGTAGTCAATGTGTTTCAATCGGTTGTGATATAAAATAAGTTCGGCGAGTGATACTTTGCATAACATTTAAAACAGATAAAACATCATGCTCTCGCTGAACTCTCCGAGGTAAGTACCGCGAGCTTCGATGTAATATTAGGCTCTTCCAAACTCATGAATCTCCGCGTAAAGTGTTCACCTAAGGGCTACTTAAGAAAAAGTGATTCAGAGTAAAAAAAAGTAGTATATCTGAACCGTAAAACTGTTGCTGTATATACGTGAATAAGAAAGCCTGCATTCTTCGAGATGATGAAACCTAAAGCGTGACAGCAGTCGCTATTAAAATAACAGAAACTTTCACGAGAATAATTTATCTTCGTGATTTGGAATGATTCTAACTAAAATATATCGAAATTAAATTAATTATACGTTGTACTTTGTATATGTTATTCCACTGGATTTATGTAGTTTTATTTTGTATGTGTATTTTTGATAAAAATTAATGAAAATGTTAAATATAATTTAATCTTGTGAAGAAACAAGTATTTAAGTGAGATTCCCAAACGTTTTGTTTTTCGTTTTTATTCTCGATTTGAGGGCTCAATCACTTGAAATTATCTCTTAAGCTATCATTGTAAACTACTATGTTAATCGACAGTTATCGTAACGAATATCCAGTAGTCTACTTCTGGATATTATAAGATAACTTCTGTGTACTTTCCTGTGTATATAGCTGACAGATATCGAGAGATGTCGGACTTCAGTATAAACGACAACTTCGATAAACTTTCAAGGAAACAAAGAATTGTTTTTATGAGTCACAAAATTAAAAAAAAAAAGTTCAATTAATAAAGTTGACCACTTGATCTTTATTGCATGTACTGCTAGAATAAATATGTAAATTTTTAAGATTTAAGCAGACAAACAAGCATGAAATAGAGGTGGATTATAATAACATTTATCTGCTCAGTACGCTAGATAAGCTTAAATTGCACTTTGAAAAAACAAAGATTTTGTTATCCACACTATTACCGAAATAAACTAATTGTAATTACAACTTGAAAAGTGTAGGTTGAACACTTAACGCATAGAAAATCCAAATAACAATTATTCATACAAACTACATAAACGTTTCTTGATCACAATAGAAGATAGGCAGTTCTAGCGAAACAGAAGCCTAAAGCAATTCAAAAGAAAAATTTAAAAATTCACGAATGTACATTGACATATGAGACCAGTTTAGAGTACTTCTGACCTGGAATTAAAACTGTTAAAAATACATACGTACTTACATGCATATATATATTCAAAATGTTTTGTTCACAATGTGCAGTATCTTTCGGTCTAGAATACAACAACCATGCACTAGTAGCTTAATTAAGCTTAGTTAAAACGAACTTCATATATATATCCGGTTCGTTTGCAATTACAAGCAACTTTGGTATGTATATTTGCATACGTGTATGTAAACATGGAGAATATGTATGCATTACTAGATGTATGCGTTCATTCTTCAAAAAGATTTATTATGTTATGGACAAAATGGTTAATTCCAAACACAAAAAACAAAGAGAGAACTGAAATCACATAGGACATTATAATTAGATACATCTGTACAAACCAGAAACCAGACGTTTTGGCGCCATAATAGTGCCGTCTTGAGTGATGAGAGTTTAGGCTTATTCTATGCAAAGTTGTTAGCTACATTTTCTTGTGTAACGGAATTGTGAGGTGAATGTAATGTATTTAGAAATGTATCACAACAATTGAAGCTACGGTTAACATTAACTCGAAAACAAGCCTTAAAATGCGTTGTTTAAGGCGTCGACATAAGTACACAACGTATTTAGTGTTTCTGATTCAAAGTAGGACGAAAATAGATGTGCACAAGTTTTAAACTTTAGTTACCATTTCGTGTAAACAACTCTTGTTCAATAAGAAACATAAACAAAGTGTATAATGGTGATATGACTGACTTTCCCAATACCAGTCTATACACATTCTTTACATGAAACCCAGCTAATTTAACAAGACAAATGGGAAACATACACATTTATACCCTGTATACAATACTTTACCTAAACTGTTTTTATAGCTTAAATAGTTTGTAAAGTGATTTAATAATTGTTTGTATTTATAGGCCTAAGTAGGCTCTTCTGTCCTGCAGAATAGAAGAAAGAGATATACCTAAATTTTAAAGTCTTTATAGAAGAAACGGCTATCCATAATTTTAAGTCGTTATAGAAAAATAGTTAAACCTCATCTTTAAGTCCATGTAGAAGAAACTGTTATATCTGATCTTTAAGTCCTTGTAGAAGAAACTGTTATATCTGATCTTTAAGTCCTTGTAGAAGAAACGGTTATACCTAATCTTTAAATCCACGTAGAAGAAACGGTTATACCTAATCTTTAAGTCCTTGTAGAAGAAACGGTTATACCTAATCTTTAAGTCCTCGTAGAAGAAACGGTTATACCTAATCTTTAAGTCCTCGTAGAAGAAACGGTTATACCTAATCTTTAAGTCCTCGTAGAAGAAACGGTTATATCTAATCGTTAAGTCGTTGTAGAAGAAACGGTTATACCTAATCTTTAAGTCCTTGTAGAAGAAATGGTTATACCTAATCGTTAAGTCCTCGTAGAAGAAACGGTTATATCTAATCGTTAAGTCGTTGTAGAAGAAACGGTTATACCTAATCTTTAAGTCCTTGTAGAAGAAACGGTTATACCTTATCGTTAAATTCCCTTGTAGAAAAAACAACTATAGTATAATTTTAAAATGTTCGTGTTATATCGAAACTGT